AAAAAAAAAAAAAAAAAAACTATACACTCATCATCAATGAGAACAGATCATGTTGAAACTGTTGCCTAGATGGAGTTATATACTCTCAACATAATGCAAAAAGGTTCCACTATTAATGGCTTAGGGTTTTCTATAATTTGTATATCCTTTTTGTTTAAAAAATTTTTAGTTCTTTGGTCGGAGTATAGTATGGTATAAGTAGAAGAAGACCAAATTTCCCAATTCCCAATTTCAATTCAACTGTCAAAAGAAAGCAGGCATTGAGGTGTTGTGGTTTTACTAGGGAAAGCCTAATTGCAGTTAGGCTTTCCAAGTTGTCATCCCTTTACAAGGACAATGCCACTGTCAAGTCGTAATATACATATCTTCATTTATGCATGGCATCATCAATCATCAAAACACAAGATGTATAAACCCTGCAGTGTGTAGTGTAGGGGCTTTCCTTTTAGGTTGTTGAGTCCCTTTAACAATTCAATGAAAACATATATAGCCATCTAGAATCTATATGGGAAGGGCAGCAGCAAAGAGAGGGACCCTTCAGCAGTACCACATAAAGTCAGGGCTGCCGTTTCTTGGGACTGTGGTAACAGAGAAGAGACAACCAACGATATCTCAGAGTAATCCCCTATACGCCATCAACTTCATGTAATTATAATCTGCTCTGAACCTCAACAGTTTTCCCAGAAAATGACTTGATCACAGCCCTCTATACTCTAATGGCTTATTCCTCTCCTGTTTTCTACTCTAATTAACCCTCGTTAATGTGTGTATACATATATATGTATATATGAAAAAGATGATTGATATATAATTTGATTTTATATATTTTTTAATACTTATCTAATTTAGTTATAAAAATATAATATAATTATAATTAATTTAGTTAGTTTCAATATCTTATATGCATAATTAGATTTTTAATTTGTTTGTTTTTTATTTTATACTAAAAATAATAAATTTTTAATAAATATATTATACAATGTATTAAATTAAAAAAATATATCAATTAATATTAAAAATTATATTTATTAAAGCACAACAGAGATTTCAAATCCATATATTAATCTGCATATGTATGTCATGATCAATACTTTAATTAAATAATTACTACGTTGTGAGCTGTCATGTGATTGTGATGTGGATGCGAGGGTTAATTAAGGATGCAGAAAAAGGGATAAGGAAGAGGGAAAATGAGAGAGTAGTGAAGGAGCAAGAATAAGCAAAGAAGGGGAAGAAAATTAGGGAAAGAGTGATGCAGGGATCAAGAATACAGGATACAAACGCGTAAGACTTGTAGCTGAAGGAGGGACACAAAAGTCCCCACCCTACAAGGGGCGGTGTGTAGTAGGTTTTAGGGCTACTTAAAGCGTAATCAATGACGACAATAGAGAAAAGTATGGTTGGTTTTTTTTTTTTTTTTTGTCTTTCAATGACGCGTGCAAAAACTTCTCCCACTCCCAAGGCTGTCCATGGCTTGGACCACGTTCCATATATTTTTCTTTTCCTTTTCTTCAAAACAAAATTTAATGCATCAAATTCCCGTGATTCCAATCCCATCATCCCCTCTTTGGCTCTATTCATGGAGGAAGACTTTTCCTTGGAAAAAACTGACATGTTCACATGTGACGACGATGATATCTTGGATAAGAATGATGCGGTGTGAGTCAAGAATAAAAAGAATATATATATATATATATATATGCATGAAGAATTCTTTAATCAAACAATCTTTTTCAGTTAAATGTGTTGTTGTGATTTCTGAGAGAGTCTGTATGAGTATTAGGATTATCCGTACGCGTGCTTTATACGACTTTCTTGCACAATGATAATGATTTGTTCATAACGTTTCTTGATAAACAAATCTTAACACCTAATTTTCATTGACTCTTTTACTCAAATAAAACACGTAATTGGTATGCATTACTTACTTAATGCTATGTGATTACATTTTTGAACAGAAGTGAAATGTGATGCTATTTGATGTCAAAACTAAAAAGAGGGCGGAGAATAAGAGAAAGGGAAAAGAGTATATGCCACGCCTGACTACTACGACCCACTTTTCTTCATTTCTATAAATTACTCAACATTCCATGTCTCCAAACCAAAAGTGATAATGGAATCTCCCAATTCTGATTGCGAGGCTTCGAAAATGTCAAACGATGGACGGTTGCGATCAACTGGGTTCCCCTCACTGTTTGGTTTCGTTATGTAAATCTGACTCAGTACACATGTCATGCAGAACAGAAAAGAAAAGAAAAGAAAGCATGAGAAAGAAAACAAGAGAAGAAGAAGAAGCTGCAACAAAAGGAAGATGATGAAAAAAGAGCATCATCAAAAGCTGATGATACCCTAGCTAGTAGTACGTTCTCTACTAATTCTTCTTCCATTTCAAAAACACATAAATATTGGTTTTTTAATAATATTATATTGTTGTACGTACAGGACATTAACAATGACAGTGCTGTGCAGAAGGGTTTCATCTTTCTATGGCAGCTGATCCCATAAACCAACCGCAATTATAGTGAAATATAGGGAGTGACAGCGACAACTCATTGACTGCACCACCTCCATATGTAACAGCCGTAAAGATGTATGCTACTACTGTATTGTATATATATGTGTGCTAGCACTATCTAAAAATATATGGTACAGTATTTTTTAAATGAGGGTGTGGGAGGAAAAAACAAGCTAGGG